CTATACTTTCTTTTATCAATAAGATATCTTCTAAATGATTTGTATTGATTCGGAAATAAACCTACTAGGCATCCTCATGGTCATGATGGACTTGCCTTTGAGATATTTGTAGGCCAATATATGTATTTTATATGTATTTAATTATAGGGTAGTTTATTACCTATAAATATTGAAATTATAAATATCTAAAATTGATTGCTGCCAAAAATGGTCCAGAAAAGTAAGGCTAAGTGACTGATTGCAACAGTGAAAAACTGGCATGCAAATTCCCAAGTCAAAAACCGGGGGCAGCCTGCCTTTAAACTTACACAAATACAGCAAATCAATTCTTCATTTCTCTAAACAAAAAACTATAAACAATTTCAAATTCTGGACTTCTTCTCAACGTGTCAACCTCATCATGTTGGCGTTTTTTCATGCGAAAACAAAATCCAGGACATATGAAATCTCTTATCCTGTGTCCAGTTTCATCACAAATAACACAAAATTGTGATACGTTTAATTTTAATCCAATTATTTGGGTCATTCATAGTTTGAATTGTTTAAGCTGCTTTTTAACTATGATTTGCCAACTAAATCATGGTTTTGATGGAGATTTATGCCCAACAGATAAGGGTGGAAGATCTAACTAGACCACGTTCGCATGGTGATTACATGTGAAGAAAAACATTTAAAGATTAAAGAGCCTAACAAAGAATAATTTTATTATTCAGATCAGTTTGTATAATTTTATTATTGTCTTAGCTTAAAATTTCTCAATTTTTTAATATTTTTATGGGGGGTGATGGTCCTATTGATCCTTCTAAGTTCCGCCAGTGCAACCTTCTGTTCTTATACCAGAAATGTTACCAATAGTTTGCTTCTGTTTTGGTAGTATATTGCGTTGTAGTAGGTGAACCTATTTATTTGGATGAATAAACAAAACAACTTATCATCATTTTTTACACGTTTCATCATGCGGTTAGAATAGAGGTATATCAATAAGTGCGCATAAGTGCATCGAACATACACTACTCTATAATCATCTTAGATTATTAAAAAAATCAGAAAGTATCTTATAATAAGGAATAGATATAAAATTAGTTAAAATGAGTTGATATTTAAAAGTTTTCACTTGATTTCAGTCTTTCTATATTTAATTGTTTTTCATCGTCTCAAATTTATTGAGTTTTGTGTAAAAATCCGTCTCCAACCTAACACGATTTTATTTTTTTATTCTCGATGATATAAATATAATATAAAATATATAAAGATAAAGGCTTTAAAGTAATTATTCTTAAATATCTATAAGAGAACTACAGTAATTATCTCAAATCAAGTCAAGTCACACAAAGATTTTTTATCCTAAATTCAATCTCTTCTAACTCGATTCTCTCCTTCACAAAATTTATATGATTTATCTTGAATCTATTTTAAAAAAAATAATGTTATAAAATTAAATAAAACTATATTAAGACTGAATTCAAGTAATTTGACCCTCGTTTCCAACTACGTCTCAAACCTTTAGCTAGTTTCGTGAAGAGGAGAGACTCTTATAGATCGCCGGTTCCTAAAGGTCCTCAATTACCAGACAGGGGGACCGAATAATCTGTACTATAACTACCCACAAGTTTATTAATGTGATGTTGAAGGCACATAGATGTTGTGTTGTCAAAACTTTAAAAGATTCAATTTTAAATATTGAATTTTCTCGGCTGCCATTGGTAGCCAATCATTGCCCTTTGTCAGTCTCCACTCGTGACAAGATCAATATTAAAATGTTCAATTTTCATTCATCTTTTTTCTCATTATATTAATTTTCTATGAAATCCACTTAAAATCAATGAAAATCCATCTCAATATTCGACATGCTAATACTCCTATCTCCTCCTATGATCACTCGGTGAAACTAATTTTAAGGTATATTGCTTGTTTTCTCAAAATAATACTTCTCACCATTCATATTTTTGAACAAACACCCTAAACCCCTAAAATCTGAGAAAGTTCTCAAACACATTAAAATGATAAAAAAAAATGTTTAATTTCATCAATTTTGTGTGGTTTCATGAAAAATCAATTATAGGAGAAGAAAGAAAAGTGAAATATGAACATTTTGATGTTGATCGTACAACGAAACACGATTGGTTGTAGATGACAATTCACTTCTAGTGGTGATTGAAAAAGTGCAGTGCCTAAATTGAACTATTTAAAAGTTTAATGGTAAAATTGATATACCCTAAAGTTTAATGTTTAAAACAACATCGTTTTCGGCATCAATGGTCACACCAAAATGATGTCGTTTTGTCTATGACATCTCACTCTCTAAATTTTAAGGACCTACTTATATAATTGAAGTCAAAATGAAAGTTTAGTAATATAATTAAAGCAATTGAAAATTTAATAATATAAACAATACACCACCTAAAATTCAATAGTATACAGTGTGATTTACATTACTTTTAGTTTTAACTATGTGATTGATTGTTTGTGTTTGTGTTTTGTCCACTTTTCTTCACTGATTAAAAAACATGATATATGATCACTTTCTTTTTTATTTAATTAAGATATGGCCACCACAAGTTAATTTTCGTAAAATATTTTAGTATAATTATATATTTGATCCATGTTATTTACATATTCTCTCAATTTAGTCTCAATTTTAATAAATTAAAATAAATGTAATCCTCCAATCAAATGATAACACGTGCCATTGGTACCACATGTCGTGCCACATGACACCATTCGGTTAGAGGACTAGTTTTATTTTAATTTAGGGCTAATTTGACCGGGCTTTTGAAAAGTAACTTTTTAAAAGTGCGGTAGAAAAGAACTTTTAAAAGTGTTGTTTAAAATTTAATTGTTTGAGATTGTTGTTAAAAATTGAGTTTGAAAAGATAAAATGTCCATTATAGATATTATGTTATAAATTAAAAATATAAAATTTAAATTATATTTACACTTACTTGATATATAAAATATATCAACTTAAACTATAATAAAATATAAAAAATATTTTAAGATAACTCATTAATAATATTTTTATAAGTGCAATATTTTATTAATAAAAATATATTATCAATATTGTTTAACACATGTTTATAAAATTATTACGAAATAATAATTTATATATTTATTTTGACAAAAAAATATTACAAAAAAATACATTAATGTTTACAAACTAAAGTGATTTTTAATAAATACACAATGAATTTTGTTTACTTTTAAGTAATTAAATTAAATTATTAAGTAATAATTTATTTTTGAAGGATGTTAATATTAAATTATTAAAATAAAATGTAAATAAATAATTGAGTGGAGTTCATGCATTATAAGAGTAAAATTATAATTTGCTTCCAAACGCAAAATTGAAAAATGAAAAAGCTACAAATTCTAGCTTTTGCGGTTGGTTTGAAACCACTGTTTCGACCGTAATTTTTTTATTTGTTACCTGTTTGGCATTAATTTTGCGGTCAAAACAGACTTTTTAACTAAAAGTGCGTATAGAAAGCCACACCAAACGAGGCCTTAATATTATCATTCGATTGGAGGATTAAATTTATTTTAATTTCTTAAAAGTATGACTAAATTGAGATAATATGTAAATAACAGGGATCAAATGTGTGATTATAACAAAATATCACGTCACCTAATATGTTAACTGTTAACGGCGATTAACCCGTGGTGACTACATCTTGATCAAATAAAAATGAAAGTAATCATATCTTAATTAAATAAAAATTAAAGTGACCATATATTATGTTTTGTTTTAAATCAATGAGAAAAAGTAGACAAAAAATACACATAAGTGATCAATCATGTATTTAACCCTTATTTTTAATAGGATTTGTTCAATGTATAGATGTCTAGATAATTAAAAAGTTGGTATTACCATTTAATAAATTATTGCTGTGAAATTCAAAAACATATATTAATTAAACCTGTTATGAATTGATAATTTCAACAACAAAAATTGTAAAGTTTGATATATTAGCTAAGTCAACCACTTGATCTATCATTTTGGCTTAAGAAGGTACGTACTTTAATAGTTAATATCTATCTATACTCCATGTATTAATAGCTTTCACCAAAGTTTAATTTAACATTAATCACACAAAGTAGCCATCTTAGCAAGTTCCAATATCATCCAAATCTTATTATTATTATTATTGTTTATTATTTTCAATTCAAGTCCTTTAATTCACATGTCATCTTAATCGGAGACAGGGACCGTTAAAAAACTATCAATTTAGCATGCAAAAGAGAAACGTTTACCTATTACATTAAAATTTATAAACTTAAACTAAATACATGTTACATAATCTTATGAAATTAATATTTAATATATTTATATAAACATGAGGACACGTAATTTTTTGTCCTTTTTGCAGGACCAGCTCACCATGAATGTCCAGAAGTCAAAACTTATCGAAACCTAACTAAAGAAATGCTGGGTGAAGTTAAAAGTAAATACAATTTATGGTGAAGCATCTTGAATGCGAAATTACGTTGCTGGGCTTTTTATCTTAAGTTGGATTTTGAGAGTTAAACAAGTAGAGAGTAATGGAAATAATTCCATGAAAAGGACAATTCCCCTACCTTTTGAAATATTTACCTTAATTCTCGATTAATATAGCGAATCTAAAAATATTTTTAAAGATATACTTATATTAATTACATAAAATTTTATATAAAACATGCACAAATAACATTACATTCGGACATAATCAATAAAATAAATAATTACTTAATAAAAATCAAATTTCATGACACGTACTTATCAAACCTTAACAGATCCGCAAATGTATGAGATTTCCTATTAACTAATTAAAATTATTAATTTAATTATAGATTTTGCAGATATTGTTTCGGGAAATGTGTATAAGCCATGTTTTTCATGCTTAAATCTTGAATTTGTTAAATTACGGGTAAGGTTATTTTATAATCACGTTGTATTATGCTTCATGATTATTCAACGTGATTATATTGGCACAAAAAGAAGCCTAATTCCTCCACTTTCTCTTTCATTTTCTGCTTTCTCTCTAAGCCCAATGCTTAGGTCAACCACGAGAAACACTCCTCCCTGTTGATTCTCCCATGGCTATAATTTGTCTTCTTTAGGGTTTTCTTTTTCCGGATCAAAGAAGAAGGAACCAACCCCCAGTCCGTTTTTGTAGTTTCTTTTGCTTCATTCGCACCTCAAAGATCTAGAACAAACAAAGTCATAGCTACCCAGAAAACCAGTATTCGCAAACCCAGGTCTTGTTTTTAGTTTTATTTCGTCTGCTTCCACTTTGCTTCTGTTTTCTCATCAATCTATACTTAAAAGTAAATTTTGGTGGTGGAGGTAGGTTATTAGTATGAACTTTGTGTAAAAGTATTCAAATTATCAAGATCAGTGAAGATGAGGAAATCTTAAGAGAAATTCCCAGCAACTTGGATTCTTTTGAAGATTTTTGCTGTGGATTTTGGACAGGAAATCTTAATAGAGGTGATGGAGTTGTCACTGGGGAGCAGTAGTATTGAAGAATCGAATACTGCAAGTAGATCTATTGAGAAAGAATATATGTTCGATAAAGTCGTCACACCCAGCGATGTAGGCAAGCTGAACCGCCTTGTTATACCGAAGCAGCACGCCGAGAAGTACTTCCCTCTCGACTCTTCGTCAAGCGAGAAAGGGCTGTTGTTGAATTTCGAGGACCGGAATGGCAAGTCGTGGCGGTTCCGGTACTCGTACTGGAATAGCAGCCAGAGTTATGTGATGACCAAAGGGTGGAGCCGTTTCGTCAAGGAAAAGAAGCTCGATGCGGGTGATATCGTGTCGTTCCAACGGGGTGTCGGGGACTCAGAGAAAGACCGGTTGTACATTGATTGGAGGTGCAGCCCTAATGTGCCTGATCCGGCAACGTTTGCACATTTTCAGCTACAGAATCAGTTCAACTTCCCTCAGTCGGTCCGGTGGGGTGGAATCTACTCGATGCCACAAAGCTACGAGCCTTTACATCGGTTGAATTACAGCATATATCCTTATAATCATCACCATCAGCAGCAGCAACAACAGCTACTGCAACAGCAACAGCGGCAGCATCAGGCAATTAATTATGGCAATGTAGCGCAGTACCATCTAAGGTCATCATATGGATCATATAATCATCATCAAATTGGGGCAGTGCAAGAAGGCGGAAGAGAGCCAATGGTGATCGATTCAATACCAGTTGTTCAGGGCAAAACAACAGCGGCTAGAAGGCTAAGGCTCTTTGGGGTGAACATGGTGGAGTGCCCTACTCCTACAAAAGACGAATCTTCCTCGGCTCACGATTCTTATAATTTCCCTTCTTCTTCTTCTCTCCAATCAAGACTGTCCAACGATGATAACAATAATACCCCATTCTCCGGAATGCAAGCTGAATATTCAAAGAAAGGAAAATCTTCCTTGTCCTTTGATTTGGATCTATGATCCATTAAAAAGAAAATCACAGTGAAAGGTTGCATTTTCACCCTTTTTTGTTTGCTTCGCGAAATGCACTGGATTTAGTAAAGAGGGTATTAAAAAGACGAGTTTTTTTCTTTCTTTCTAATTTCTTTAAATATTGTTTTAGTACATGAGTTAGTTGAGGTTTGGGATCTGTGAAGAGCTAAAGATGAAAGACGATGCAACACATGGAGTTGAAGATTGTGTATAACACATATACAGATATATCAGATATTCCCAACTTGTTTATCATATAAAATATCATATTTTTCCATTACTAAGTCCTGCCCTTTCCTTACTGCATCCCCAGATTTCCCCCAGTTTTTTTGGTGTATATATACACACACATATACGTATATATTATTTATTGCTCTCTTGTTTGTTTGTTTTTTGCTCATCAATATATGATTTTATTGCTCTTTTGTTTAGTTATGATCATTTGTATATGTTCTCTCCCTTTCTCCTCCCTCTCTCACCCCTGACTGACATCATTACTTTGTGCTGTTAATGCATGGTAGCTGTTGTGTGTGTGTGTGTATAGCCTTACAAAACCTTTAGTTTCCCCCCCTTTTTTCTACTAGTTCTTTCTTTTCTCCATGTTAATTTAATAGTAATGTGTGTGTGTGTATATATATACTTGACTAGTTGCTACTGAACATCTAAGCTGCAGGCATTGCAGCAGGTAAGCAGGTAAAACACAGAAAAGCCGCAGCATCTGTAAAAGGTATTATCTGTATTCTTATTGATTGTTTTTGAAAATTTTCCTAAATATAAACCATTTGTTTTTCCAGTTAGATTTTTCCTTTACTTACTTTCTTGGTAATTGGTGTACCTTCTCTCTAAAGCCATGATCAGATGACCTTGTCTGGACTGTTGCACACAAAAAAGTTCTCGTCTATTGAGACTGGACTTCACCCGATACTTGTAAGAATTCTTATATATATATATATATATATAGCTTTGTTTGAATACATATATCCCTGTATATATATATATATTCGCTTCAAATATTGTCAGCGCATTTATTAAGCATTAATCAATGCACCAACCTAATGAGCCTTTATGTATTGGTTAAATTAATTATATGGGAACTCTATCTCTTACATGAGGTTATTACTGGTAAAGTTCCCATTTTTACATGTTCTCACTGGTGATTTGCAGCACCAGGTAATCCAGGTTACTAGGAAGATTTATTAACATAGTAATACCACATTAAATATAGCTCTACAAACGCTAAAATATAAGTTCTGGATGGATATACATGCATGCTGAATTGTTTTTTGGTAGTTCAAAATATTGATAAAAAACATTCTGGATCAATTACTCTCACTACTGGTTACTGAGTGATGCAGCTTCAGAATTGACAAAACAGTAGTTAAGCATTATTATTATTATTATTATTATTTTACAATCAGTAGTAAAGCATTACTGATCCTTTTCATTCAGAAAGAAACGAGTTTCCACTTTGGTATACTTATTTCTAGCTTTGCTTAAGGGCATCTGTTCGGGCACTGTGTCTCAATTAGAAGTATTGATGTTTGCCTTGGCCTTGATAAGTTGTAGTTGGACAGGTTTATGAATCCATCTTTGATGTCATTCAGTCATTATGAATCATGCATTATGCGCATAATTCTATATTTCTGAGATTAATATGTCATCTGCATCTAATAACCTTGTTGACAGTTTATGTTGTTCTAAATCTTCATTTTTCATGAAATACTAGTGTCTAATACTTATATATAGATATATAATCTCTAAATATCCTTCAAATATATATAAAAACTTTTAAAAAAATCTAAATGTATCCGTATTTGATACTTACACTGGAGCCCGAAAAACATAAATGGACATAGAATGTTAAAACAACATAACACCTTTATCTAATAATTGGAGAGTGAATAAAAGAAGTTTTAGAATCGGTTTATGGCGTAAATGCTGACTTCAAAGGTAAGAAATCAATAGTGACAAAAGCACAAGTATTATGCTGAACTGGTGATAGAATTAAATAATAATATGGAATACTCGAATTTTCATAGTGCAACTGGCATTCAATATGCATGCAAATGCTATAAAGTTCCATTTAACGAAGGTTAAAGGCTGTTCTAATATAGTTTTGCTTAGGCCCTAAAAGGTAACCGATATTTAGGCTTATATTTATTGTTTCTTTAGTTTAACAGATCGAAAGGAAAGAGATGAACTAGTATATGTATATATATATATATTGATGGTGGCACTATATATACATACATGTCTGGATTATATACATACATGTCTGGATTATATACATACGTGCATATATATATATATATATGCGCGTGTGTGTTTTTGGGTTTAATGGAGATGGAAGTGAAATAAACTTCGATTTAATAATGAGCTTAAAACAGTATTGTTTTGCATGCTCATGGCCTCTTCAGACTTCCCTAGCATTGCTGTACTAGAGACAAGAACTGCACTACAATTGCATTTCATTAGGACTTGGCTGCTAACTGATCAACACTCAAACGCACATGCATAAAAGTTTAACAGAAGAAATTTCAACGTCTTCATCACTTCATTCTTTGTTTTGAAAGATTCCAGCTTCATTTGTATAGGAAATAAGATATAACTAGTTTGTAGAGCATGGGATATTGGATCGTTTTAATCACTGCATTAGCTAAAAACATTCAACATGAAATCATGTGAGTTAATTATCAAGAAGTTAATTTAAATATATGTATGTGCTTATCGTTAATCTATTAACAAAACACATCTTTAACGTAGTTATTTAAATTTGAGTCTTTTAGAAATAATAATATATATTTTACCACTTTTATCATTGAATTCTAAAATATATATATATATATATATATATATATATATATATATATTTAGTATTATACAAAATATGATAACCAGCCAAGATGGGTGGAATTATAGTTAGAAAAAGATTCATTAAATTCACCGTCCAAAGATTCCTAGCTACCCAAAAATATAAAGAAAAGATAATAATAATAATAATGGAAAGTCCAGCACATCACACCCTATAAAGAGAGCTGTACGTATAGGTTAGGTTAAACAGGCAGCATAATTGATGATGATAAAGATGCCACATGCATGTGCAAGGTACGAAGAAGATGAAGAGAAGTTTCTTTCCTTTCTGATTTCACTGCTCAATTTTTACTTTTACCAGCATCATTTTTTTTTTTTGCGGAAGATGGTTATCAGATATAGTAAAATCGTAATTGATAATTTGAGAAAATAAAAATGAAGGTAAAAGAGACACAAAATTTACGTGAAAACTCCTAAATAATATAGGGTAAAAACCACGGGCAACAATAGAAGAATTTCACTATGAGAAAATAGAATTACAACTTCTTTCGATCTACCAAGGAGAAAACAATGATAATTCTCTCTTGAAAAAAAAGGAGAAAACAACTCTCAAGAAATTCTCTAAATTCTCTCTAGTATTGGGAGAAAGCTATAATGCTTTGGGATTGTTTTGAAGCTAAATGAGTTAGGGTATTTATAGTAGAAGCTTTAAGGACTAATCTTGAAAATACCCTAAATTACAATGACTAAATGTGAGATTTTGCCATGTCACTTTTCAACCATTATTAATGCTAACTATGAATCATTATTGTTGTCAACTTACAATGCATTATGAACCATTATTATGCATTATACAACTATTATTAGTTGTATGACAACTAATAATTTTGCATGGCAACTAATAATCTCCTACTTGAAGATTTGATTAGAATAATCATATATTCACACCATTCTTTCTACCTTGTACCTTCATGTTGCTTACGTTTCTGACAGGCCACAAGAGGATCGACACCAGGTAAATTTATCAGCGTTGATCGCCTTCGTCATGAAATCTGCTATGTTGTCTTTGGTATGGATCTTATGCATATCTACCGTCCCTTCTTCCACCTTTTCACGAATGAAATGGTATTGAACTCGTATGTGCTTTGTCCTTGAATGAAATGCTGGATTCCTTGCTAGATGCAAGGTGCTTTGACTGTCACAAAACAGAGAGACATACTCTTGATTGTGCCCAAGCTCTTCCAATAGCATCTTCAACCAAATTGCTTCTTTACTGGCTTGTGTAGCTGCTACATATTCTGCTTCTGTTGTGGATGTAGCCACAACTGACTGCAATTTTGAAACCCAGCTTACAGCTCCACCAGCAACTTTAAATACATATCCTGTAGTAGATTTGTTTTTATCCAAATACCCTGCATAGTCAGAATCAACATACCCATTGATAAGTAAATTTGATCCTCCATAATATAATGCAACATTTGAGGTCCCTTTGATGTATCTCAGGATCCTCTTTACTGTATTCCAATGCTCTTTGCCTGGATTCGCCATGTACCGACTAACCACTCCCACTGCTTGTGCAATGTCTGGTCTTGTGCATATCATAGCGAACATTAAACTTCTCACTGTCGATGCATACGGTACTCGAGACATCTCTATCCTATCTTCTTCACTGCTAGGACTCATACTGGAGGATAATTTGAAGTTAATAGAAGAGGGGTAGAAATTGGCTTACAATCTTGTATGCTGAATCGTGACAATATCTTCTTTAAGTAATTTTTTGTGAAAGTCAAATCTTCATATTACTTCTGTCTCGGGGAATTTGCATCCCTAGAATCTTGTTTGGTGATCCCAAGTCCTTCATTTCAAATTCCCTAGCCAGTTGTGCCTTCAATTCTCAATATGATCTTTGTTGGGTCCTGCAACCAACATGTCATCCACATACAACAGCAATATAACAAATCGTTATCACCAGACCTCTTGAAATAAGCACAAGGGTATGCATTAAGTCTGTTGTATCCAAGGCACATAATGAAGGAATCAAGTCTCTTATACCAACACCTCGGCGCCTGCTTTAGACCGTACAGAGATTTGTTCAACCTGCAAACCAAGTTCTTCTTTTCTTTTTCTTCAAAACCTTTAGGCTGGAGCATGTAAATCTCTTCTTAAAGATTTCCATGAAGAAAAATTGTTTTAACATCTAGCTGCTCTAGATGTAAGTTCAATGTAGCACATATTGCCAAAACTACTCGAACTGTTGTTAGTCGAACCACAAGAGAAAATATTTCATTGAAATCAATACCTTCTTTTTGAGCATATCCTTTGACCACCAGCCTTGCACGATACCTCTCAACTTGATCGTCACCATTTCGCTTGATTTTGAAGACCCATTTGTTACCAATTGACTTCCTTCCTTGTGGTAGTAGCACAAGGTCCCATGTATTATTTTTATGAAGGGCTTCAATTTCTTCT